GCAAATAGCTAGCAATGTGCTATTTGCAGTCGTAGGAATAGCTGCCGTCGTTTGGGCACACAGCAAGCCACCCAAAATAGTCTACTACAGACATCCAGCGGAGGATACGAAACCGCAGAGAAATTCTAGGATTCCGGAGATGGAGTAGAGGCGAACGCCCTTTGCAGGCCTAGGATTCCGGAGTAGAGACGTGCACCAGTCTGTCTTTCTTCTTTGCCTTGGTAGTCTTTTCCCTACCTATTTTGCAGTATAGCGGTGGTGGAGACGTCCAGTCTATTTTCTGCTCCTCCAGAAAGTGTCCCCAGACTGGAGTGGTTGCATGTTCTACCGTACAGCCCTCCAAAACGCATTCCGAGCATTTTTCGGAAAGGAATAGGATTGTCCTTTCTTTTTTTCTGTAGGTGGTTTTGGTGTATTTCCAGCATTGGTATTCGCCCGGATGCATATGTAGCGCCTGCACGCATTCTTTGTTTGGTGGCGCCGACACTTCCAGTAGTCTTTCTGGATTTTTGGGAGTGTCTATTTTCCTAGCCAACTCGTAGTACGTATCCAAACCGGGACCTTCGGGTACGAAGACAGTTGCTACGTTGTTTTTCCACTCTAGCAATATTTCTTCTCCGGGTATGGCAGTGCGTATGTTGCCGTTGGCTTCGAACTTTCCAGCCGCGCACGCTTCCAATAGGGCTTCCGTGGCCCATGCTACAGAMGTTTCTCTATTCCTTCGCAATACTACGCGGTGCCCTCTTGCCAACCAGTTGGCATCCAAGTCTCTGGGGATCGCATATCCTAGTATCTTGTAGTCTCCTGCAGGTATTTGCTCCATCCTATGCACTTTGGACCTAGGCGTCTCTGGGCCAAACGGGCTTTCCTCTCCAAAGAACAATCTACGCAGATTGTCTGTCCTTCTGGAAATCCTATCCAATAGTTTCCTGTATTTCTCCAATTCTTTCTCTATGGCTTTCCTGTCTTCTTCCTTCTGCCGCAGGATGGACTGCCTTTGCTCCGACAGTTCTGCGTGGTATCTTTTCGTAGCTTCTACCCACTCGTCTCCTTCCAAATCGTCCCGTATGTCTTCCAATCTTTGCTGTCGTTTTCTTTTGGACAGGAAGGATATTCTGCGGGAGGAAGGCACTTCCAAAATGCCAAACGGACTCTTTTCTACTCCGATCCTTTGTGCCTTCTTTGTGCGCCAAACCCACTCTACGTGTTCCGTTGGGGGTAGCATCGTGGCAATGGTGGGGGCATTTGCATGCACTCGAGTGGGAAACTTGGACTCCGCTAGTATGGTTGGGGAGTCCTTCGTGTAGCAGCGTAGTGGAGCTATTTCCACCGGGTCTGTTCCCAGAATATCCACACGGAATATAGGACATTTTCGGAACCCAAACTCTGCTATCGTCCAAAGTACGCATTGTTCCCACTTTTCRTTGCCTCGAACTCGCACACCGGCTATGCGTCTTGTTCCCAAATTGCAGTACCACGCTAGGAATATTTCTCCCGTCTCTTCGCAGCAAATGCAGCAGCATCTATCCAAGTGTTCTGCGAGAGCCAACCACAAATTCTTTGGCGGCTGTACTACGAATATGTCCTGCAAAGGTTCTATGGTCTCCGCTATGGCATTGGTGTGGGATTTGGAGAAGTCTTTGCCGTAGACGGATATTTCCACTCTGCTGCATCCTCTCGCCTGCACGTCTGGATGCAGRAAWGTYYTMCKMAGRTGSTCGTTCGGACAATCCACGTACTCTGCTAGCTTTGCGCCTACTGGATTCTGCACTTCCCCGGCTTCGAAGTTGGATACTATTTTGTTGTATATTTTCGTACGTTTGCCATCTTCTACCCAAGTGCAAACATGTTCTCCAACAGCATGTGTATTGTCCAAAATCGTACCGTTGCGCCAACCACTACTATGTTGCAGCACGTATCCCAACTCCCGCAAACGACGCACCAATGCAGCTCTATCCAAAGTTCCGGAGAAATCCTGTGTGTAGTCCACGGAGTATATTCCATATCCGTGTGCTTGTAGCAGCCTAGCAAACTTGGAAATGTTTTCGTCTACGGCTTCTGTGGACAACTCCGAGGTGTCTACTTTGGCCACAAATGCCGCGGCGGGTTCTCCATGCAAACTGGACCACTTGGCTGCCATGTGGGAGACGCGGTCTACTATGTTTCCCTGCCTGCACGTGTGCACTATGCTGGTTGGTAGGAACACCCCAAATGTCTCCGTGGCTGCRATGGATATCTTGGAGACTATTGCCTTCGCATTCCTACAAAGCAGCTTCTTTCCATACAAATTCTCTTCGGAAACAAAACCATAGACAAACACATCGTCTACGAAAGGAGGCAATCCTTCTAGTGGCCGCAGACTGGTTGGTCCTTTGTTGYCCCGCAAGTAGTCGCACTTGGATATGTCTGGCAGCAGGTTTCCGTCGCAGGCATTGTCCAGCAGCAAATGTGCTAGTAGCCTACTCTTTGCTCGTATACCCATCTCTTGCAATGTAGTCGAAATACTCTTTTGCTCTTCCATCTTCTATATATAGGAGTAGAAGGTTTTGGGCTACCATAGCGGCCTGCAAGGAATTCGCATACCGGGCTACGTGGCCACTTTGGCGCAACTGCCGCGACGTAGATAGTAGAAGGGGAATGACTCGTTACCCTTGCAAAGGGTGCGGATTCTGGTGGATAAAAAATACTACCTGGCAGAATTAGAAAAGGGTGTCATTCTGGCGGACACCCTTGCTACCAAAACAGAGGACACAAAAAAATACTACTTTGTGCCTACGAGGAATGCCTGTGTGGGAGTAGAAAGGTAGCCGAAAATGGTTGCCGAAACGATGGGATTCTATACACTCTTCTACATGCATATATAAGACAAATATTTCCAACACAGCAGTAGTAAGGGACTTCTCGCGAAAGCAAACAGTGTAACGCACCTACTTCACACGGGTTATTTCCATGCCGCCAAAAAGTTTCCCATAGGCGCTAACGCGGGTAATTCCCGTGAAAATGACATAGGTTCCTGGGGACTTCGCGAGTCCCCCTTACTGCTGCTCAATCACAGTGACTTCACTTTAAATTAATTGCCCTAAACATCAGTGTGCAGTATACCTGTTTTCTGCCCTCCACTCTGGTGCTTAGCCTTAGATCTGGAGAGAAAGAAGAATTACTTTTGTTCAAAGGGTATTGTTAGGATATGGTTGAGAGGTTATATTGGGTTTCACTTAATATGTAAGAAAACAAAACATTGATGTGATAATTATTATATATTTAAAGAAATGCATTGTGTTATGATTGCAGGATGGTTTGCTGGACTACTTGCTCTGTCTACCAGGCCATAATGAAGATGAACAGCTTCATCTCCTGGCCAGCAAGATACTGCTCTACTATGCTGAATGTGAAGCAGTAAGTTTAGTTCAACAAGACTTGAACGTCTTCCAGCCAAATTAGTTTTAGCTCAGTCATTTCTGGCTTAGCGTTACTGGTCAAAGTGACCACCTCCTTAGTGTAATTTTTAAGCCCTGGTGTAGCTTGAAAAAAAAACTCTGAGAGTTTGGTGGTCAGTGTTTGACCACCATTTGAAGCAGATAACGAGATTCAAAGATTTTTAACAGCTGATTGAGACGCGGCATATTAGTGACTCAGTGTTAATCTGACCATACTAGAGGATTCATGTTGCATGTTTTCTTCCACAGGCTTGCCAGAAGCTTGTTGAATTTGATGAGCTCAGGAGCTGTCTAATGGACTTTGCTTTTGGTCAAGATCCACTGCTGCAGAATATTATAGCAAAAATTATCCTGGCCATGATTGAATCATATGAAAACAAGTACGTAGTGTTGAGAAGACTAGAGGAGACTGATAATTATGCAAACCATAGGCAGGGGGATGGGTTGGGG